CATTTAGTTCATTGCACCAAATCATCCCACCAAATGTTATGGAGAGGAGGATGGTTTTCTGAAATCAATGGGAGTAGGTTTCCTAACTTATACCCCATTAATCAGTATTCCCAATAAAATGGGATATAGAAACAAACAGAAGTTCACTTTTAAAAATGACATTTACAAGCAGCTATTATGTATGTCATTTCACAATAATTTTTAAGAACATAAAATCTGTTTATTAGTAATGGCAGTAAATTTTATAGCTATGTCTTCAAAAGAAATGAAATGTATAATTGCATTTGTAGTTAAAAATCTGGAATGTAGGGTTTAATACTACACAATTTCAAAGACAAAGATCAATGTTATATTTTTAATAATACTGTCTTAATAATAACATTGTTAATAATATAATAATAAATATATAATAATAATATAATTTTTAATAACATTGTTTTAACTAAACACAAAAAAAATAATCACTCCACTTGTATTTCAACATTGTAACAAAGACGTGATCAGTCTGAGTAAGTGATGAGCAGGAATCCTGAGTCCTCTCACTGAGGCCACTGTATATCACTTTGTTGGGACATATACCAGTATATCTACCTATTGACTAGATTTCTAGTGTTCTGAGATTTTTAAAAAGCTAAAAGCGTTGTTTCCAAAGTGTGGTCTTAGGACTAGCATCATCACCAGTTGAAAACTTGTTGGAAATGAAAATTCTCACCACCTCCACCTACTCAGAATCACTGAGTAATTTGGTTTAAAAAGCTGTCATAGACACCCTCAAAACTGGCTCTGAATGGTTTCTGCCTGCTAATCATGCCTCCATGTAGTTTCCTTCCCACAAGGGAGCTGACTTATTTAATGAATAACATATAGCAAATCTGATAGTTTATGGCATCATCAAAACCCTGTTACTTCCTCTTTGCTCTTTTTCTCAGATTCCCTGCTCTTGGGAAGCCAGCACCATGTTATAAGGGTGCCCAAGCAGCCTGGTGGAGCAAGGAACTGAGGCCTCCAGTCAACAGCCATACCAACAAACCATGTTGGAAGCACAGATCATCCAGCCTGGTGCAGAGGGCTCAATTGTAACCTCATGAGACTCTGCAAGCCAGAATCATCCAGTCAGTCAGCTCCTGGATTCCTGACCCACAGAAACTCTGTAAAGGTGATGCATGCTTATTGTTTTTAGTAGCTAAGTTTTGCTTTGCAGTGAAAAGCATATACTTCATGGGCAACTGTGATGCATGATAACCTTTGAGAACCACGGCGCTAGAACATGCATTCATGGATGGTTAGATCCACAGGTGTGGAACCCACGGATGAGGAGGGCCAACTGTACTTACTTTGCTTTGTTTTTCAACTACTTGCCACACTGAGAATAAAAACACAGTGATGGCCAGAGTAGATACTGTTAGGGTCTGTAAACAAGTCAAGATGGAGCCTGGCATTTTGCCAGGGGGAGTGGTTTGTGAGGTGGCACCAGCAAGCCATTAAGTGTGGAGATTCCTTATTGGTTGACTGCTGTATCTAGTTTATGTTAATTAAGATGAGCTGTGTGGAATGTATATATACCCCTCCTGTCCTACAATAAACGGCTCCCACTCCTGCTGTATCAATCTACACAAGTTGCTCGTCAACCCCCAGCTATTTTGCCCAGCCAGCTGGGCTGCGGCAAGATACTGCCCAGCCCTTTTCACATCCTGCTCCTTTCAATGCTTTTGCCACAGTTTGTAATTACCTTTCATTTATGCACACATACCTGTGCATCATAGTCCTCACCTCCTCCACTTCACTGCATGTTCCAAGTGGGCAGGACCTTTGCTTGGTACACAGGAGATGCTCAATTAGTATCCACTTGGTGGATGACTCCTTTCTCGCTGAATTGAGCCTCTTGAACAGTACCAATCACACAACATTTAAGGGGCATCTCTCTGGGAACCTAACTTCCTTATTGAATCCATTTCCATAAAAAGAAATGTCTTTCATGTTCAAAATAGCCAACTTTTAGAGTTCCTTTATTTCACATACAGAGATCCCTAAAAGCATATAAGAAAACGTAGGCGATAGGTTTGGAAATATAAGTCACCAAATCAGAGACAATTTTTCACACCTGAATGAACATGTCAGTGAAGAAAGTAATTCTCACAGCTTGATCTGGAGCAAAGACCTATGTGGGTGGGTCCAGCAGGAGGTGAGGGATGCTGCCAAGCTGTTCTGTGAACAAGGACCCACCCTGGCCTGGCGACCTGTGTACCAAGGGCACAATGTTGGACTGTGCAAACATTCTAATCCCTCCTAATAGCTCTACCATAGGTTCTTTTGTTTAGGAGCGGATGTTAGAGGTGAGAGTGCTTGGATATGATGACTACTGAGACAACAGGTCAATACTTTTCAACATGACCTTCAAACGTGAAGAGGCATTTGGAAGATACTTTTTGATTAAAAAAAACAAAACTCATTGATCTTTTTAGAAGTTGTTATGGCAGACAGCTTGAGATGTGGGTGACATCATTCTACTGCTATTGAAAATGTCAGATAAATGATAAAACAGACTGTGGCTCTCAGCCTGATTCTGATCAAGACCAAAGAGGAGAACAAAGACTACAACAGCATCAGGGAACTTACTCAGAGGGTGCTGTCAAAGCTCACCCGGGCTGCCTCTACTGCTCATCCTTAGTAAGAGTTCTCAACAACCATGGCGAAGCTCAAGAGGAGGAGGGGAATTTAACAAAGTCAGACTATGGCTTCTATTGTATCTTCAGTCCCGCCCATATAACACAGCCTGCTGAGTGGGAACTTATCAACTTGCTGTTTTTCTTTCATTGGTAAAACGTAACAGTGCTGCCCTGCACAACTTTCTGTGACAATGGCAGAGTTCTCTATGCGCACCCTCTGATTTGCAAGCCACCAAGAACACGTGGTTGAGAACTGGAAATGGAGCTACTGGGGCTCAGAAACAATTTATCCTCTTGTCTAATTTGAATTAATTGAGATTTAAATAGTCACATGTGGTTATTAGCTGCTGTATTGGTTGAGGCAGTGCTAGAAAATAATAATGATTGTAAATTGTCAAGATACCTTATCTGTCTAAAGATTTTATTATTATTATTCCCATTCCTTGCCTGAGGATATCAAAGAACAAAAAATGAAGCAATTTGACCAAAGTCAGAAAGCTAGCGAGTGGCACAGAAGGACTGAAACTCACCTTAGGTATCCCTGACCTACAGTCTTGCAATGACATTGAATTGCAATTTCCTTTTCATGCAAAGGAAGCCTTAAAGGTAATCATGAGCCTTTGCAAGCTCCAGACTCTAGGTAAATAGCAATCAAAGGAAGCTGGTCCTATGTGGCATGATTTCCTTCAACAAAATGTGTGGGCAAGTACTTTTCTTGCCAATAACAACATAACTTTTGAAATTTTAAAACTACATGTCAATAATAATTATATCTGACAGTCTCCCCCCTTTGTCCTAATCAAACATTATTCACACGAATTCAAGATGACAATATGAAAAGAAGTCTTTATAAAACTTGTGCCACATTCTATTATGCTGTCCAAGCATTACTCTCTCCTGTTTACCCTTTGCTGACAAACCAGATAATACTTTCTCTCCTAAATCAAAAGGATCCTATGAAACTACACAAAAGATAAAAAATTTGGAATTTCATGGGTGATTTGGAAACAAAGAGTTTCAAACATGGCTTTAAACAAGGGGGGAAAATAAGACTTAAGGAAAATAATATGCAGTCCTATTATAAATTTTTCTTCTGGAGTCCTATGTAAAATATTTCACATTATTACAATAGTATAAATCCACTCCAAAACGTGCAAGCCTAAAAGCCTTGCTTCCAGACATATGTGTATCCTACATTCATAACCAAACAAGCATTATCTCCCTAAATCTCTCTTCTATTCATAGGGACCTTTGTGTAGCCCACCAGTGGATCAGCGAGGTAAATTCATTGAAAATTGGGATAGCAACAAAACCAATATCCTTTGGTTTTCCTGTAGTCTTCCTATCACTTTGGGGATCTAAGATATGCCTTAATATTGACAACTTGGATAAAATCAAATAAGTAATTGGTGATAAGCTGAAACATAAAGAAATGGAGCAAAACCACAAATTTTGAGGTCTAACACCTGGCTGAAAATATATAGGCTAAGTGTGATTATCTTGATATATATAAATCCATTCTTGGATTAGAGTTAGTGGACTCTCCTGTTAAGAGAACTCTATGCGATACTAAAACTAGTCTCATCAAAGCTCTTACCTACCAGTAACCTTAAAATACACCATACGGTCTTAGGGTCACAGATTCAGCTCCTCAGTCTGGCATCACATAAGCAACTGAATAGGGGTGAGTAGTGAATTAAAGAGACTCATAAATTCCTGGACATGTTTCTCTTGCTTCTCATCAAGGGGTAGGGTCTATGTTACTTCCCCAAGAACTTGGTAAACTCTGAGATCGCTCTGATCAACTGAATAGCACGCATGACATCGTGCAAGTCTCCAGGCATTGCCTTTAAGAACATGACAACCTCTGTTTCCTGTCTTTTAGAACACTCTCCGTAGGATCTTGAGCTGCCATTTTAAGAATTCTAATTACCTTGGGACCACCATGAAAGAGAATGCAGGCTCATGCTCAACAGTCCCAGTTGGGGTCTGGTTTTAGCTCTCCCTGCCAAGGGGCTAGACCTCCAAGTGCAACTATTCCATGAAGCACTGAGTACCAGGTGACTCCATCAACACTATGTGGAACAGAAAAATCATCCAGGCTGGCCCAAGCTGATCCACAAAATCATGGGAGAAAATAAAATATTTATTGCATTATACCTTGAAATTTTGGAGGTGTTTGTTTATATAGTAATAGATAACTGGAAAAGAGTATTTCTCATTTCCTTGGCTTAATCTGTAAATATACCTGTTAATTGCTCTACTATATAACCTGATTATGTTTATTAAATATGAGGTCCTGCCCAATTATTACAATTTTTAATATACACATACCAATGAAACCAGAAGATGGAGGGTTTGGCTGAATCTTCTCCTTGGTATTCTCCTGGATAATGTCCCAAAGCTGCCATATAAATTTAGGATGAAGTATGTAAAATGGTTGCGTTGGATTTCTCTGACGGTGTTGAATATATGGCGTGAATAGGTTGTAATCTGGCTTCTTGTACCACTAAGGAAAAGCACACATACACACACTCAATCAAGTACAGGGAACTACAGTGTAAAAAGGAGACAGAACAGCATGCAAGCAAGTGGAAGTAGATGCTGAGGGTCCAGGTTGGGATAGAAGGAGCATGGAGGACCGTGACTTATCATGGTTATAGACACTTCCTCAGGGACAAGTATGAAGCCAGACCAGGGTTCTAGCTCTGGCAGAGACGATGCTTTGCTTTTTAACAAAATGAGAGAAAAAAAGATAAATCAGAGGTTATTAGGCTTTTGCAAAGGGTCAGATGATAAACACCTGAAACTCTGTGGGTGGTCTCTGTGGCTACTACCAAGTGCTACCATGGTAACATTGATTAAGACAGGTGGTTGACAGATTTGGCCAGCCATAGTTTGCTGATCTCTGTCATGAATAGTGTGTTTCAAAAAATAAATTCTCCCAATTTTATCTATAGTGACAAAGTGGACCATGGCCACCAGGGCCCGGGAGCAGGGCTGCAAAGACTGACTGGGATGGCGTGACATGGGAACTCTTGGGGTGATGGAACTGTTCCCTTTCTTGATCATGATGGTGGTTACATGAGTGCATACATTTGTTAATATTCATGAGAATGTGCATTTGCACTTATTGTAGGTATACTGTATTAAAAAACCAGGAAGGTTGGATTAAAAAGGTCTTCAGAAGTGTGTCAGGTGGCAGCTCAGGCCCCACAGCTACGGGCTGTGTTGCTTGGATTTTGGCATCCTCTCTGCCCACATCTGTCAGGTGGGACAGCGCTGTGCCCTGGGCTTGGATATTTCCCACAGAGAGAAAAAAAACAAGGGCAACAGACAGAAAGGCTGTCTTTTCACAAATAGCAGGAGAGCTGCCCGAGTTTAAAACTGGGAACCTCAAGCTGACAAAAAAATCTGAAAAGTTCCAAGCCCCATTTAATGTTTGATTTTCAGTGGAGGACATACAGGAGAATCAACCAGAGGGCTTTTGGAAAAAAAAAAAATCAAGGCTATGTCCTCTACTTCTGGAAATTGGGGTTCTGATGGACAGATTTTGAAAAATTTTTCTGCAGGTGATTCTGATTCACACCTATTATTAAGATGTGGTGGCAATCAATATCCAGCCTCAGTCTCAAGATGGATGGTGACCCACACTCCTTCAGGAGGGAGCCATTCTGTCTTGGATAGCTTTTTTAGAATGTTACCTGTTAGAGCCCTCAATACCTGGCCTCCACATTCATCTTAATGAATTAAGTCCCAAGTTTTCAATTTTGTGAATATTTCAATGAAATTATATGGGTACATTAAAATAGGTTGGAAATCAGAAGATGATACTTATATTAATTAATATTAACTAACATTATTATACTATAATATAGTTAGTCTTCCCATTAGTGTTTTTATTATTCAATCACATTATTTATTATATAATTATATATTATATGCTACAGTTAAATTTTTATAGGTGTTGCACATCTAAATGATAACACAATGGGTTAAGGAAGTTGCAGGCTCTCTGGTCATGGCAAAAACAAGTTAAAGACATTTGCATAGTTGATAACATACCATGCTAGGCTAAACATTGTCCATCTTTTCCAACCCTCACTAAAAACTAAGCTCACTGGTTTTTCATTCAAAGCTCCATTAAAAGTTGCTAGCTGTTTGCTTAGGTAGATGATGATTTGCCAGAAGGTCCCAAATGCAGCCTGCTTATATTTTGATGACTAGTAATAAACTTGTTTCAGCTCTATTGCATAAAATTTAACAGGTTCAGAAGCAGAAGGCAAAGAGGAACACTCAAGGAAAACCTGGAACAGGCTCCATTTGAATAACAATGAGCTGTGGATGCACAAAATTTAGATTTTCTTGCCAACCACTTTTAATTTATTTCCAAAGGTCTTGCAACCACTCTGAGGGGGATGTCTTCCGGTCACATTAGAACCATTGTAAGTTTAATCAGCCCAACCTTTAGTATAGCTAGGAATTTCTGAGCATTTAGATATGCACATTTTTCTTCCATTCCTCTAGAATAAAAGCAATTTAGCATTTGATGGATAATGTTCAAGTGTACTACCATACCTGGGCATCAAAATGTGTGCACACATATGTGCTCAGTTAGGACCCATGATCAATTTCATTTTGTTGACATGCAATTCTTGACCCCCTCCCATGATTTATCAGTCAGAGGCCCTGTCTGACCACGGGGGTCAGGGCATCAGGGAAACACTTACCAGGTTAAGATTTGCGGAATAAGGAGCTGGGTCCCAGGCCACCAAAATGACGTCTTTATACAAAGAACTGTCAATGAAGTTATGACTGGGGTTGGTCAGAATCTGCACGCACATAGGGGAAAAAAGTTCAGATGCAGCCAGTGTTTACTACTTCAAAAGCATATTTTTAAAAAAGAGCTCAAAATTTAAAAGAGGGATCCAGAGCAAGGATAAAATGGCTTTCTGTTTGCCTTTGGGAGAGGGAGAGAGGCATCCTTTGCACACTCAGGCATTTAAAGAATGTTTAGGGAAATGAGAGTTTTTTTTTTTTTTTTTAATATCAGTTTACATTTTTCAGCTCTGCACCATAGCTAGTGACCTGAGCTCTAGCCCCTGGAATACAGAACTCCCCAGCTAATTCAAGTGCCCTGACCCTCTCTATAATAGCCTCCACATGTAATTTCGACACAGTGTGGGTGTGAATGAGCTGAGTTATGAAGCAGCCTCCAAAGTGCCAGCCACAGTCCTCCCTCTGTGGCCCTATCTGGTTCCGGTTGAATTTGTCAATTTCAGCTGCCAATCATCTTTTTATAAAAACTATCATTCTGGGGGAAAATTCTGGGGTTTTTTTTCCCCTCAATTTTAAGAGGCAATTTTTTTTTTACCATTATTAAAATGCACTTTTTCATATTTTAATGTGTCTGAGGTTAGGATTATCTTACAGGCAGCAAGTATTTTAATTTGGTCGGATTTATCTCTTCTTCTCTGAGGAGTTGTTATTAAACGAGTTGTGGATCTTACAGCCAATGATATCTCTGAATTAAGGAAATATGGTAATTGTTTCTTACCTCGCTGCAGGCTGCCTGGTGCAGTGAACTGTACAAAGAGCTAATGGTTTGTTCTGCAAGCAATTTTCCATAAATCACTTATCACCTCATATTTTTTCTACATATTTTTTGAAACTCTAGAAATTCTTGTAGTTTGTTCTGAGAGTAATTTTGCCATAAATTTGGAAGACATTCTTATTAAGAACATGAAGAAAAGAGGTATTTTCATTTTCCATTAAACAACTCATTTTCAGCTTTTAAATTTTCAAATAACAAACTCAAGTTTCAAAGATATAATAGAGACCCTCAGATTTTGTGCCTTTGTTTTTCTCCATGACCTTCATTGCCATGATTTCTTTTAAGCTGAGTTGCCTTTTCTCAGCTCACAAAATGGAACATGGTAAGTCTATGATTATAAAAAATTCTATTTCTATACCTATTCTGATTTGTCCTTTGATCTTACTTATTTCTTTCTATTCATAATTCACATCTAAATTCTTGTTTCTCTGCCTTTTTCATCATTAATTTTTATAATTACAAGACCCACAAAAATAAGCAAGTATCATGGTTATGGACAACCAGATCATTTCTGTTCACTCATCCAGTTAAATTATTTACCTACAGAAGGTACCCCTGTGAAAAACTCCATCCATCTTACCTGGGAGTTAATGATGCGCACAGTGGTTTTATTTCCAACATCTCTCTCATAACCACGTGTCGGAGCAGAATTAAATCTCAAAACTGCATCATGAGAATCTAAGGGTACATAAATAACAAGCTTACTTTTTCTTTCTATAGAATACATTATCTAAAAAAAAAAGAATACATTTTCTAGGGAAAAATATTTAAATAAATCTTTCAATACCTGAAACTAATCAGACACCACCAGTAAAATTAACATATCCATACACATATTTTTCAGATAATTTACTGCTGATTTATGATGTCATCTTGGCTAGGGAGATCAACATGGAAATATACATGCTGTCACACACTGCATTATGGCATGTGAGTCAATAATGGATCATGTATAAAACAGAGGTCCCATGCAGATTAGGTTGCCTGGTGACATTTGTAACTATCTTAGTTTATGTAAGTATATTCTATGATGTTCACACAATGTTGAAATTGCCTAATGAAGCATTTTTTCTGAGTGTATCCCCGTTAAGCGACATGTGACACGTTAAGTGACATGTTTGTGTGTGTGTGTGTGTGTATACTCAATTACAGGTGATCCTGTTATATTTAATGCTTGTTTTCTTTTCATATTCTTTACAAGTGACGCACTTTATGCAGCCATTCCCCCAAAGGTTCCAAGCCATTTGGAAGGTGGATCTACAGGAGCAGGTAAAGATGTTAGCTTCGAAGGCACGGGCTGCTCAGGGTCTGCTGGTCTGGGCTTCTTACTACCTGTGGAACCCTGAAGTTGGTTATGGTGATAAAGAACTGCATCTAATGCTACTGCCTTCACAAAGATCAAGTGCACCTCTCCCAGGGTGAAAGCCACAGCATCCAATTCCACCTTGCTACCTTTTGGTAAAGGTTTCTGCTTAAAAGAAAACCAACCCTGATTTCCATGCAGCCTTCCATACTGGAAGTCAAGAAGACCCATGTGAGAGCAACCTGAGTCTTCTGTGTTCTCAAAGCCATGGTTTGATTGACTGTGCAGCCCTGGAAAGACCACCAATGTCACCACCGGCCAGCCTCCTTATTCTCTGAAATGGTACACTGTGGACCACCATGCTTGCCCTTAAACATCAGTCTCCATCACCCTTCATTCAACCTGGCAGGCAGACTCTCTGTTAAGTTCTCTGAATTTGGGGCAAAGAGTTGCTGGATGAAAATAAGGCTCCCAAATCACGGAGGCTGAGAGGGAGGCACAGAGGAAGAGGGGAGGACAGAGGGGCTCATCTAACTAAGGGTGGAAATGGGGAATGCCCCTCAGTTGAGGCAGGCTATGGACACATGCATCTCTAAAAATTCCCCAAAACCAGAGCATGTGAGCAATAATGGAATTTCTGAGGGCTGCTTTAGCTTCAACCCTCCCATGCAATTTCCAAGTTTAGCTTGCAGCAATGACATTGCCTGTTTGTGAGGGTGAGAGGTGGGATCATGTATTTCTGTATGTTCAAGTGCCTTGTGGACACGAGGGCACGGCATTTACTGTGACTACACCCCACCCAGAAATGGAGGCAGCTGGCCTCCTTTGCTTGGATTATGCTCTACTCTTCTTGGACATGTTCCTCTTCCTTGAAGAGCAGAAACTACCAGAGATGCTCCCATTAAAAGAAGGCTATAATAGGTGCCTTTATTAGCAAGTCCTGAATGCGAAAGAATTGGGATTCCAGTTTTGAGTACCAAGATTACAACAGGGAATGCATAAAGCACACCTGGTTATGCCATTTTAAAAATCCTCCAGTATTCTTTTAGGGGAAAATTTGCAAGAGTCAACATGTATGACCTGCAGGACAATTCTGTTAGTAAACTGTAAAGTGGCCATATGGCCCACAATGCCTGAAATGTTTACTATCTGACTCCTTAGGAAAAAAATAAAGCTTATTCATCTCTGGAACTGAGGGAATGTTTTGTATAAATGATGTCAAAAAACCAGAACACTTCCAATTAAAAATTAATTTTTCCTTACAATTTTAAGCACTTGTTGATATTTTTCTGTTCTGAATTGCTTTCTTATTTTTACTAAATGATGTATTGGCATAGAAAACCAAATGATACTTTAGCTAGAAAAAATGAACAGACTCAAAGCAGTAGAACTCACATTTTAGTATCAGTACCTCTTTAAGAAAATTATTTGTAACCTATTTTCTGTGTAAGAAAGTAGAACAGAAAATTTTAAGTGTCTATTAGTTTATATTAAAATAAATTTTTTTAAAAAATAACTATTTTTAGAACAAAATTAGTGAGAAGGCTGACAATATTTTGAATGTTTTAAAACCTTCATTGACTGGCTTTTAGAAGAGACAATCTCTTTCAATATGTTGTTTTAGCCATAGTATATGAAGACTTAGATATATTATTGAAGAAGGGAAGGCTATTTTAAGAATCATTCCAGAGAACTGCAGATATTCTTCTTTAAAACTTCATCAAAACTTCACAAGTGCTGATTTGTTAATGGTTGGTTACAGTTTGGAAACTGAAACACATCAATGAGTTGTTTTTTTTTTTCCTAATAAATTCATGACTCCAGAATTAGTTATGTCTTCCTCCTCCAACCCGGCAGTCTTCACAGGAAGCCTCTCAGAACAAGTGTGTTTTTAAGATAGGCTTCCAAAAATCTACTTTTAAAAAATTCAAATAGGTGCAAATCCAAGAGTCCAATAAATTCTGACACACTATAATCCATCGGTCTATTTATTCTTGGGGGGGGGTCCTTTATTCACACATGACTTTGTTATATCATGTAACGATCCTTTGAAAAACTCTCTGCTAAAAAAGTCAGGCAGATCTTCCAAATATTGATGCATTTTATTATAAAGTATCAAAAAATCACATTGATTAACCACTATGGATCTCATTAGTTTTCAAGTATTGTTGAAACGTGGGTTGAAAGCTTAAATTCTATCATTTGCAACAAATATTGTCCATTATTTTTCCTAAAGGTGACAGTCTCCCTTAATTCCTTTTTGAGAAAACATCTGTCAAATATCCAAGTATGAATAATTAAAGTATGCTTGTCAGTAATTTTTTTAAAACTACACACTGTGTTTCATGACAAGAGTGGCTAGTTCATCTCAACACGATACCACAGTGCTTTTGCATGTCACTGATATGCATAAGTGTTTTCTTTTGTTTCCCACTTGGTTACACAGGATCTGAAAAATGAAGGCACTCAAAAGTTGAGATTTCACAAAATTAACTATTTTGATTTCTTCACTGAGGCCAACCATAAGTGAAACCTGCACTTGACAATGATACTTAGTGGTTAAAAAAAAAAAAAAAAGTCTGATGATGACTATTGTTGGGTGCTACTACCTCAATTTGTACTAAAACACCAGTAGTTTTATCCATCATTACCTTTGCTTGGTCCATGCAAATGTCAAAGTTATATAATATTTTTAACTTCTGGACCACTAAGAGGACCCTGGAGACCCTACGTGGGTCTTAAAAAAATGTTTATCAATCTATAACTGAGGGAATCTATGCTTTGTATAAATGATGTCAAAATATCTGAACATTTCCAAGATGGAATTGTTAGAAGTGATGATCTATGGTACTTCCCTGAGAAGGTAGAAAATAAGAGGGGACGCCAGACAGTGAGGAGCCCCTTGGGGACAGGCCAGGGAGGGAGTGTGACTCAAACACTCTCAGACCACAGCTCTCCCAGGAACCCAGGCTGCCTGCCCCTCCACACAGCCTCCATCTCAAGGTCAGATGAGCAACCCCAGGGTCCCAAGTGGTTGGGTGCTTTTCAAAGGAATCGAGTAGTAATTCAACATTAATCACGACAGCCTTGAAAACCTCCCAGCATTTCACTGTCCGTCGATGGTCCTATGTGGAGCTGTGTTCTGAGCCTTCCAACAGCTTCACAAGGCAGAGGCGGAGCTGATGGAGCTGGTGCTGAAGCCGGTGGCGGCTGTCAGCGAGCAGGACTAGATGGGCATGATGGAGGAAGAGCCAGGAGGGTCTCCTCACATAGGCCTGGCTGTACACTGCCTCGGTGATGTCGGTGAAGCACCTAAGAACCTAAGCTGTCCATTCAGATTTTAAAAAGAAGAAATAGACCAGACGGCAGGCACCAGGGCGATAGAGAAGGCGTTTCCAGGCCCAGGCAGGGCTGTGTTGATGTTAAGAACAGAGCCTGGCCAAGTGCATCCGCTGAAAGAGCATCACTCCTGATTGCCAGGCCAGGAGACCACCAGCACCGAGTCACTGCCTTTCCCTGGCCCATGCTCTGCATTCTCCCCTCTTCCTCCTGACCCACTGACCAGAAAGCAAAAACTTGAAATAATGAGAGAGAACAAGTCTTCAGTCACTGGGAAATGGCCTGCCAGGGACTGGGACTAAGGCCGGATTCATCTCCTGATTCGCACTGCCCTGGTCTCTCCTCTGGCAGGATACCCTCATCTCATACTTTCCTTGCGCCATCAAATCCAGGGTGTAGGTTGATTTTTCTTGTTATGGTTGGGATAACCGTCTCCTAAAGGCCCATGTGCTAAAGGCTTTGTCCCCAGCTGTTATGGCTTGGATATCTTGGGGTATCTTCCAAAAGATCGCATGTGAGACAATGCAAGAACATTCAGAGGTGAAATGACTAGATTATGAGAGTTGTAACTTAATAGTGGATTAATCCACTGATGTGGATTGCCTAGGCAGGAGAGATGGCTGGAGGAGGTAGTCACTGGGGTGTGCCATTGGGGTCTATATGTTGTCCCTGGTGAGCAGAGCTCTCTCTCTACTTTCCGGCTGTCATGTCCAGAGCTGCTTTCCTGTACCACGTTCTTCTGTCATGATGTTCTGCCTCACCTTGGGCCCAGAGATACGAAGTTGGCCAACCAAGGACTGAACCTCTGAAACCATGAGCCAAATAAAGTTTTCCTCTTCTAATTGTTCTTGTCCGGTCTTTTGGTCTCAGCAGCACAAACGTTGACTAAAACACCAGGCTCTAGGGAAGTGCAGGAAACTTTGGGCTTAGCAAAAGGGAGTTAGGTCGCTGGGAGTGTGCCCTTGAAGAGGAGACTGAGAGGCTGGCCTCTCCCACCTCTCTCTGCTCTCTGGGTACCCCGAGGTGAGCACCCTCCAGCACTCCCCTCCCCCATGACATGCTGCTTCATAAAAGACCCAAAAGCAACAGGGCCAACTGACCATGGATTGAAACCTTTGAAGCCATGAGCCCAAATAAAACTTTACTGCTTTTAAGTGTTTATCTCAGGTATTTGTCACAGGGACAGAAATCTGACATGCTTTAATAAAATGAGAATATACCCTCTGCTTCCCTGTTGGAATGATCTCACTGCCTCTGCCCCTGGTGTACAGGGGAGAGCTGAAGTTCCTGTAATCCACATGGAGGTTTGACTCCAGGCTCTGCCCACGTGATCTAGGGGCCCCCATTTCCTTTTCAGTAAGGTGGGGATAACTGCATCTTCCTATTACTTAGAGTTGTAAGGATTCTAATAGTCAACAGAGAAAAAGCATTAGAATGGGTCCTTGTTCCTAGTAAATAATCTCAAGTGGCACCTATTCCTGAATCTTCAACCCAGATTTGCCTCTTTGGGGCATTTCTTCTTACCATCCTCTCTCTGCCCACCCAGTCCTCAGGCCTCAGGGTGGGTTAGGACTCCTCTATCATTTCTATCCTCCTGATCGACTTATCTCCCTGTCCTTCTATTCCCAGAAATATTGGAATTGTCTATTTACAGTCTAGACTTCTCTGATAGAGAATTGGAGGGCTGAGTCTGTGCCTTTCATCTGTGTCTAGTAGAGGACCTGGCAGAGATTTGGTGGTCAATCAATAACTAATGCTTGCTGAATGACTATGTGAAATGCCTTCTTGAAGTTAACACGACATACCACATTCCAAACTCTACCTTCCACACACCCCCATCTCTTCCCTCCCATTTCCCACCCACCTGCCATTAGTATTCAACATTCAAATATGCAGACCTTGGTCTTCCACATCAAGGCCATTACTGTTCATCCAGAATACACCTGTCCTCTGTAGTGTGTTCCACAATAGTCCTAGTGGAGACTTCACTAGCATATTATTACTGCTGATATGTAGGAGTGACCAAAGACCATCTCATGACTCTAGGAAAGAATGTTCCATGTTTCCAAAACAGCTGATGTTTCTTTTCACTAGGATGTTCAAAGTGGACCTGTTTACAACTGCTACATCTCTCTCTCTAAGCAAAAACAGTTACTAGGGTCTAAGCGTGTGGAGGACAGGACTGTACTGACCATGGAACAAACACCAGGGGGAGCCCAAGGGCAGCCAATCAGCAGACCCCAGGTGTAACTGGAAGGATGGAAGGAGCTGTTGAGTACTGGGGACCTCAGCCTGGAGGGGCCCTGGGGCTACTTAACACAGACTTCTCTGGCTACTCTCCAGCTCTGCTTTCAATTTTTCATCAGATCATGCAGAAGACTTTAGTAAGTCTTTTGATTTCCACTTAGCCAATTCACAAGCAATTACTGAGGGGCCAACCTGAGTTTAGCGACAGCATGCCCCAATTATTCCCAGGTGGCAGAGGAATGTGCTATGTGAATTTGGCTTATCATGAGAGCCATTTATGAATCTATGCATTTTTCAGTGAAACCTTCAGGTGAGCAGGTAGGAGAGAGGTCAGCACCTGGCAGATACAGCTCATACGCTGGCTGAGATGCCAACTCATAAGGATGAAAGACTTTGTTTTTCCGAAATAGAGTGGCACTCTGATTACTTGTCCTAAAATGTATAGGTACAAAATCTGAGTCAAAGGAACCTAGATAAAACAAGAAAGACAATTAAAAAAAAAAATTCCGGGCATGTTCTTCATTTGTGATTTTACAATTCTAATCATAAAGCTGCCTCTAAGAGCACACAACATAAATTAAAATTTGAATGCTGGAAACTAACAAATATGTAACTCTGGCATCTCATGTTTTTCAGAAACACGGACTTCCCAGTGTCTTTCATCTTCTCTTTCAAATTCTGGATAGAGTTTAAGAGGCCCTGGTCAGGAATATTTATGCAGAAATAAAGAGCAAGGGAATTCTCTCTGGCATGCGAGAGCAATCCAAATACTAAGTATTTACGATGCAGAGGTGTTTAAAACAAAGCAAAACCAGAAGCAAGTTACTGCCTGCTTCAAAGCCTAATACTTAAATTCCTCCTCTACATTATTAGTATTGGTCCTCGGAAATGAGAAAGAACTGTGGTGTTATTCCACCCCAGGGACCTCTAAACCAGTGCTCTTTCTTAATAAATTGCAGGCTGCTCTGCTCTGGCTTTGGCTACAAGCTTATGTGACACATGGACAGTGTTGTTATGAGCCTGCTGGAATAGACCAGGGACCCAAGACCACAAGCCCATACTTGTTGTCTTGGGTTTTTTTTTTTTAACTTAAAAAAACAAAATAAAACAAAATCCCACTGAGCCTCACTCCCAAGGACTTCTGAGCTGAGGTCTGGGTTTCTAAGCTTTCCTACAGTGGCATCGCTTATCTAAGATAGTTCTGCAATACCAGTCACTCTTCAAGGACACAGAACGACTGAGGGACCTGCTTCAAATGAAGCCAGGAAACCACTATTATTTCTTTGTAATGAAGGAGCAATGCCCTCTGAATGCCACTTCCAGACAAGTTATGATCTAAGACCAACTGCAGTGAGAATGCATTAGATGTGGTTGTTTCACATCTGGACTTGAGGGTGAGCCACACTGGCCTCCTATACCTAGTACAGAGCCATACATTCAGTAGAGGCAAAACATGTCTATTAAATGAATAAAATGACCTAAAAGGCCAAGCTGCTTGCTTACTGGTGTGGCAACAGAATTAGCCTGACCAGAGAGAGAAGTCTGGGGAGCAAAGGGATACAGAATTGCTGAGGGAGAGGGGGGTACCAGTATCAGAAAAGAACAGATCTCTGGCAAGAAGGGTTGGGAGAGACTGGGGAAGGTGGGGAAATGAATGCAGCCCAGAGCAAATGGAGAATTCTGTGGCCACCCAGTCCCAGCCTACGCAGTGTAGAGCCTAGACTCTGTGGAAGGAGATGGTACTTCAGCCCTACCCTATTTTATGCAACCAAGAGATATACAAGCACCAATATTTTACTTGAAGACTGATAGGGAGCCAGGATGCTTAATGATATGTGTCAACTTGGCTAGGCTCCCGTGCTGGTGGTTTGATGAAACAGCAGTGTACATATATATCACTGTGAAGGTACTTTCTAGATGTGATTATCTTTTAAATCAGTACACTTTGAGGAAAGCAGATCACTCTCCACACAGTAGATGGGCCTTATATAATCAGTTGAAAGCTTTAAGAACAAAAGTGGAGACCAAAGAAGTTCTGAGGAATGACTTCTGCCTCAAGAATACAACACAGAAACCCTGTCTCAGTGTCCCACCAGTTGGCATGCCCTGTAGACCTCAAATTTTCAAATCCCCACAATCACTGAGCCAAGCCCTTAAAATAAATCTATCAGTGTCTCTCTATATCTGTTGTTCTTGAGCACCCCAATACAGGAGCTACCAAGTACCTGTGCTCCAGGGATCCTGACATGGGTTTGAACACAGACTGGCATGGAAGATAGAAGTCCAGGTATAGGCAGGCTATTGACCATTCTGGACAAGGCCCCTACTATGTGCACTGGTCATGACCCAAAGGCTGGGCTTGTGCCTACAGTGCTCATGTTTACTGTGCAAACAGAAGAGGTCACTTTCCTGTGGGGACATGTACTCAGCAGCTGTAGGTGTTCTTCAGAGCCCATGGACTTGGATTTGGTTCCTGAAGTGATCAAAATTGTCATCATGTCTCCTCTCAGCAGGGGACACACCTGACTGGGTGATCTCCTGCTTTTAAGAACCAAAGTGGAGACCTTTTGTTCCTCCCCCCTACTCCAGCCACCCAATGGCCTGCCCTGGCCTTTGCAGGCACCAATGGATGTAGACTGTGGTTTCTGTGGGAGCAATTTTTGAGATACCGGCAGTAGAGAAGGGACACAGGGTACCCGGAGGGTTGCCTTCCATCCCCACTGGCACTAGCTATAGGAGGAGCATCTTTCCAGCTCCCCAAGAATCCCTAGGATCCTGCTCTAGAATAGCTCTGCTGGACTAGTCTCTTTTGGTCCCAACCAAGGGAAACCCTTTGTAGGCTCTTCAGCTAACGTTGGAAACATCCAAGGCACGTCCCTCGCCCCCCGCCTTTCCCACCAGTAATAGCCCAGAGGTGCGCACAAAAAGAGCCAGACCCCCATTCCCCACTGGCTCAAGATGGGGTGACGGGCATCCCCACGGTGAGACCCACCTATTTCCTCTCCCAAAGAGGAGTTGAGGATGGCGCCCGCGGACATGACCACGGCACAGCTGTGCAGGCCGCGGGGGTGCAGCTGGCCCAGAGGCACCGCGGGCACCAGCTGCCGCCAGCCCAAGGTGGAGAAGGGCGCCTCGGTGCCGTCCAGCGTCCTGACGCGCGCGCGGCGGCGGAGCTCGCACAGCAGCTCGGCCCTGCTCAGCCGCGCCTCCCGCTTCCCGCGGAAGCGCACGCCGTGCTTGTTGGCGTTCAGGTAGTCCCTCATGGCCTTCTGCAGGCGCGGGTTCAGCATTTTGGAGGAGACATTCCCCTTCCAAAGCCGGTACAGGAAAGCCCTGGACATGGAGGCGTACAGCCTGTCGCCATCCGCGCGCTCCTCCAGTGTGTGGCTTCTCCCCTGCCTCCTGTGCCTCTTCTTCACAGGTCTCCTCTGAACTGCGCCAGCTGACAAAGCTGCCCCCTGCTGCGATGGCTCCCCAAGGGAGGGGAATCCCAGTGTCCCCTGAGTATGGCTGTGCCACCCTGGCCGACCCGCAGCAAAAAAGTAGTCGTCATCCTCCGGATAGAAAGCACTTTGAGATTTCCTCCCCACCTGGGATGAAAAGAGCTCTTCATTTTCAAACCCATCTTGGGCCTGCGCCCATCTCTGCGGGTCCATCGGACCTGGGTGAAAGGAGCCGGCCGGGTGTCCACCTGGCAGCACCTTATCTGCATCCAAACTCCTGGGCGAGGAGGGCTCGTGCATGGCCCCCATGATAACCCGCTGCTTGCCCTGGATGGGCAGCAGCCCTCGGGTCTCCAGGAAGGGGAAGGTGCTGGGCACTGGCTCAGCAGGGTCGCTGTCAGTGAAGTAGATGAAAATCGCCAAAAAGAGCAGCCCCCACGCAAATATTCCAAAGAGCATTCGTTGTCGCCAGGGCTTCAAGTGTGGTTTCATGGCAGATCTCGGGGTCAGCACCTCGGTGTTCAGAAGCTGGGGCGTGGGAAGAGCCTGAAACACAGCCAGGAGCTACAGTTAGTCAGTGTGGGGCTGGTGACAAACCAACCTGGGCGTTGTTGTTGACAGGGAGGGGGACTGACAGGGGCATCAGAAATCAGAATCATTCGGGAGCTTCACTACATCCAGGGGTTCTGTCCATCCCTGACTTGCCTCACCTCCTCAGTCCAGAACCTTGGGCCGTCCCAGGTGTCTCAGGGATGCGTCTGGCTCCTCACCACGGTGGGATACTCCAACAAAACGCCCCTGCATCCGAGTTTATAGAATCCCGATTTTGTGGAGCTAGGCAGAAGAGTCAAGTATCGTTTCCCTGTTCTTATCTGCCGATCAGTCTGCTAAAGGCTCAAGCTCATATATTGTACACCAGGTATGCTGAGCATTTCTAAGGGGTGACAACTAGATTTGATTCCTCACAGTCTCCTGGACCCAGAAGGCTGCCTGGAACATACCATGTATGGCACTAAGTAAGGAAATGTCTCAGAGACCCTGGTGGCCGTGGATGAATGTCATGCCAGAGTATGTTGATTTCAACAGTGCCCCCAGATAACACCCTCCTACTTCTACAACCAAGTCAGAATCACCAATGCCAAGCAGTGAACACTGAAGAAATACCAGCAGTTAGCTTGATTTGTGCTGGGCTCTGTACTTAGCATCTGTCCTGGATGATCTCATTTGGTCTTTTTAGTACCTAGTAAGTTAGGAAATATTGCTATATTCATGTACTAAATGAGGAAGCTAAGGCCCAGCAAGGCTAAGCAACTCTCAAAACCACAGAGATAGCCCGCAGCAGATATTACATACCCATCTGGTTGATGTAAGGTTCACACTTTTAACACTAAATTCTGACTCCATCTGCTCATACCAACTGAAGTTATATTTTCTAAATTAGACACTCCAAACTATCTGTGGTAAAGGATCATTTTCCCCCAAATTGTCACGGTCTGGTATATTTATATTTCTTTCCATGCCTGAATGTCATGGCAAAGTCTAATATCTGTCCAAGTTTCTAAGTGCTTACTCACCAGTTCTGTATACTTCACTTTGGCAACTGGTAATGAGCAGTTTGCTAAGGTGCAGTCTGGGGCCACTCTTAGAGTGGCATCTTCTACATTACCCGCCTAACTCAGGAGACAGTGATTCAAGCTGTAATGCGCAGTGGGAAGATCTAGAAGTTGTTTCCAGTATTTCAAGGTATCTAATAGAATTGGAAAATTACCCTTAATAACCATTGCTCTGCTCGCGCTGCAGTCGTGTGCATTGCAATAAACTCTGACACTAGCATTCTGAAGTCTCCAAGAGTTCAGTCATGCACAAGACTGTCCTCACTTTGGGAGCCAGCTGTGTTATCCACACTTCTTATGTTTCAGCTACCCATCTGGAGATACCCATCAAATCTGGTACTCTATTAGAAAGACTAACTGAAGTCAGGCAAGTGCTATACTTATGGTTATAGTTTTATCATACAGATACATATAGGGTGATATCTGGAGGGAATTCAAAGTTTCCAAACCCTCTCCTATGGAATCTGCATGTTTCCCTCCTGGCACATTGAAATGTTCACCAACCAGAAAGCTCCACTAAGCCTTGGTTTCAGAGTTTTTAATTGAGGTTTTATTACATTAGCATAACGGATTGAATTGTTGGCCATGTGACTGAACTCAGTCTCCAGCACCCCTCTTCTTCTTGAGATTCCCAAATTTCCAACTTTGTAATGATGTTTCAGGTGATCAGTCCCCAGCCTGAAGCTGTCTAGGGATGCTATGTGAACCACCTCCTCTTGCTTAGGAAAATCCGAGTTTCAGAAGCTCCAGGACAGGAACCCAGGGAAAAAGCCAAATTCCTTGCCACCAGCTCTGCAGTCCTTCCTTTAAAAGGCTGTCTTTCTGCTTCTGGTTGGGAATTATCATTTCCTAATTTCCCTGCACTGAGGAACAGTGCTCAGTGGGCAATTTCAGAGTGGGAAACAGCAGTTCCTTATTTCAGCATTAGCTTGAGAGAATATTTTTAAAATACACAGACAAAGGTGAGGTGTGTGCTGAGTGGAGGGGTGTGCAGGAAGGAAAATGAAGTCTTCAGCTCTTGGGAAAGAGAAACTTCTGGCTGGAGGGCCAGGGCCTCCCTCCCCCAAAGATGAATTAATGTCGCCTTTAGGGGTGTCAGGAAGCTGCGGTGAACCTGCTAAATTCCACAAAAAGTTTCAGATGATCAGATACAGAGTTCATTATGTGAAAACACCTAGCTCCGAGCTGCAGACATGGGAAGCCTTGCTTGTCAAGGGTGATGATGGCAGACATGATGGTGAGGGAGAACAGGAGGATCTGGGACATACAAAAAGGGAAGGACAGGACTCCACGACAGTTTGTTCTCTCTGTCTGGAAGTGGGAAGAGGTGGGATCCAGGCAGCCCTCAGAGCTCCACAAACGGCATGAGGATCCCAATGCAAAAGGCAGCTGCTTCCCCAGGTAAGACACATGTGGCTCCCACAGTAATTATAGAAAGGAGTGGGTTTGCTGCTTTCATTCGTGATTAGACTTCAACTTTTAATAATCTAAAAGCCTTTGCTGCAACTTCTGTAGCTTCGAACCTTCTGTTGCTAATTAAGAGAACATTCTCCAAAATGATTAAATCTCAAGGCAACTGCAAGTACTCTGCTAGCAAAATGCTACAGAAATCACTCTAAGTATGGTGGGTCTCCGCCATCAGCATTATTTGAACAAATCCAGGGTAGAGAGGTAGGAGACTGTCATCAATGTGAAAACTATGCATTGTGCTTTTCCTTGAAAGAAAAACACAGCCTAATAGAAAGAAAGGGAGGTTTGGCTAAGCAATAGAAAGCATATTTTCCCCCTAATACAGTGCATCTGAAATATCGTAATGACGTAGCTCAAACAAAGTCGTCTGTTAGACTCACTGCTATATGCCATCATTAGCTGGTGTGAAATAAATGGCATCAGGGACGTGTTAGAGGCCCATCAGGCAAATCATCTGTCCCCAGACGCCGATGGAAAAGTGCTCCCTAATCAGACCTTCACGTGTGCTTTGTCGATGGTGGTTTAAGTGACTAAGGCTGTGGACTTGTTGCCAGTTTTCCCCTGGGAAGAGCTCTGGCAAGATTATACACAAACCAGATGCAGTGTGGCTTTCTCTTCCTTCCCACAGCAATTCCGACGTGACTACCTGGCAGTGGGAAGGTTTGGATTCCCAGTGGATGTTCTCAGCCTGTTGGCACTACTTTTTCCCATTCCCACTCTTTCTCCTACTTCTGTTCTCTTTCTCGCCAACCCTCTAGGAAACTTCTATTTTTGCGGGCCAAATCAAAAGTGCCCCCACTGCTGCAAATTATTTTAACTGTTCTGCTTGCCTAGGAAGGTTGGTGGGTGCCCGTATCTTCCATACTAATTCCCAAACAAAGGAGTGAGTCGCATTCCCTCATTGATACTCAGGACTAGTACAAAAGAGTGTTTAAATGCTCCTTCCGATTGTTCTGAAAGAAATCACATTTTCCAAAAGGCACAATTTATCACAAGTTGTCAGATGAAATTATGAAATGTAAACACTGCCGCAGACAAACATTACAATGCAGCTTAGGTTAATGCTGCTAACTTCTTATTTTGTTCAAGGGCAGAGAGAGGTTAATTCTAGGCCTTTCTGCTTTAATGATGTCCTTCCCAAGCCCTGCGGTTGACAAGTTTTATCGCCGGTTTTCTTGAATGGATTCCTTTTTTTTCTTTTTTTTTTTAAACACACTTTGATGTGTCTGCTATAAACGCCAGCTTGCCAGGTTTTTCTGTGGGTCTGAGAAACACCAGTGTGTGTGTGTGTGTGTGTGTGTGAGAGAGAGAGAGAGAGAGAGAGAGAGAGAGAGAGAGAGAGAGATGTCTGCACTAATCTTAAAGCTAAGTTTTTATTTTAATGTTGAAATAATAAAGATTTAGTGTGTGAGCTATAGTGAGACATTCTTGTAGCTTAATAGCCTTCGGGAGTCATTTTCTTTCGAGAATCATTTTTCTAAAATTAGCTCTTGTCACATATCTGAGAAAACGCTCAGTCTGTGTGAGAGGAAGATCCTCCCCCGCTGGAATTCTATCTCATCACAACCTCGCGGTCCCCTTTTACAATGGACTCTTTCCTTTTTCCATTTTTCATAATATAAGAACATTTTCATGCTGCTAAAGGCAGAACGCTAAGTCGAATCCACTCCCTCGTTCATTCTCCTTAGTCCCATTCCATTCTTAAGCTAATGTCCAGAAGAGGAGAAAGAAAGGTCAGCCAGGTCAGCAGGGCACTGTGGTGGTGGGACCCCAGGCTCCTTCTCTAGGGAGCAGGATTTGTCAGGCCTTTGTCCCAGGAAAGGCAGTCCCATGGCAACTGGGGCCTCCTCTTTGTGACCCAGGGCTGTGTGACTCCAAATGGATGTGGCTTCCCTGATCTGTGTGCTAGGAAGAGTTCTACTAGGACTGACAGACTCGAAGGACCTTGCTTGGCAAAGGTGTAGGTTTAAAACACTGGGACCAGGGCTTCAGATATGTGAGCTACAATGGAGATGCCTGCAGGCTCCTGAAGGCTCCTTGAGCCACCAAAGTGGGTTGGGCTGTAGAAAGGTTCCAATCAGTATTTCTGAAATAAGTGAAATAAACGATTAAAAGTAATGAGAGGTGGGAGGGAAAGGGAGAAAGAAGGGAAATTGCATGGAAATGGAAGGAGACCCTCATTGTTATAAAATTACATATAAGAGGATGTGAGGGGAAAGGGAAAAAAAACAAGGGAGGGAAAAGAATTACAGTAGAAGGGGTAGAGAGAGAAGATGGGAGTGGAGGGGAGGGGGGATAGTAGAGGATAGGAAAGGTAGCAGAATACAACAGTCACTAGTATGGCAATATGTAAAAACGTGGATGTGTAACCGATGTGATTCTGCAATCTGTATACGGGGTTAAAATGGG